GAGTATCTGGCCCTCTCTGCATCTTCCTGAGAAAGAAGAAATGCAGAGTTATTTCATAAGGAAGGGAAAAAAAACGGACACAATACCGGAAAGTCAAAGTGAGCAACATGCTTTTAGCACTTTTAATGCTGTGTGTCATTTTGAATAATCCATGGTGGCAAGTAAACTCATTCAAGTCAGAAGAGCTCAGTTCACCTGATCTGAGTAAGTATGCCAAGATATCCCACTAGGGGATATAAGTAAAGCAGGTTAATATAATTAATAATTAGTGTTCAGTAGTCAGTTAGCCTTTCTTATGATTAATATATTAATGCAAAAAAAAAAGCACAAAACTATTTAAATTTAAAAATAAAAGGAAAAATAGAGAGCTTTACAAAATTACAAGTACGCTAGTATGAAATGTACCATATAATTACTATATTCAGATTTTAAGTAATTTACAAATTTATTTGAGCCCTAAGAGAAAGTATTATTCTCAGTTGCCTCATATATATTTTGCATTTTCTTCTGTATTAGAAGAGCAAAGCTTCTTAAGAAAATTATACAGTTTTAAGTTCTACAGCTACTTTTGCTATACAGTGACAGCGAAATTAATAAACCAAACTCATAAAATCTGAGTGATGACAACTAGCTAAGGCACCTTAATATATTTTATTCTGTTTAAAGTTGAGAGAATGTTAATTTTGGTTCACACAAGAGAATATATGAAAGAAGCAAGATAAAAACCACAACTAATTTAAAATCAAAACATATTTCACATGCCATAAGCATCTCAAATTGTTACAGTATGAAAATATGTTAAGAATCACCTTAATTTTAAAACTATCCCATTTCGAGGCTACAACACAGTTCTAAAAGTAGGAATTCTTCCTTAACTTACTTATTTCCTACAGTTTTCAATATATTGAACTATTCTAAAGATAGTAAGCCAATTATTTATACAATTAAAGGCTTTGCCTCCAGAAAGACTAGATTTCTTATTGCTTATGGTCACATGGTTATCATCTGCATTTTCACTGGGTATTTAAAACTATTTCATAACAATTCAGTATTCAACAGGCCTATTTAAAACTCTGCCAGAAAATTGCTATTGGGGGGGAGTGTAGGTTCATTTCATAGTGACATCTTAGTCTTCCTCTCTATACTGTTTGTTTTGAGGTTTAAATCAATGTTCATGCTATTGAACTTTTCAACACAATATCGTTAAATCATTGCAGATTTCAAATATTCTTTGTATCTCTGGTCTAAATGGACAAGTACCTCTTAGTAACATCTGCAGCAGGCAAGAAGAAAGTTTGCTACTTATATAAGATTCCTTTTAATTGGTGGGTAACAAGTCTCTTCCTGACATTCCATCAGAAAATAGAATACCTGTGTTAAATGTTCAGCATATTTAGGTCAAAGGATTAGGTACTGCAGTATGTATTGCAAACAGGTACTGCTGGTATCTCTCAAGCTTGATTTCTAAAAGTTCAAGTTTGAATAACGCATGTTATCCAGTGTGGAGTTCACTTAAGTTAACAAAATGAATTAAGCATTTATATTCTAGCTTGTAAAGTTACGTGTTGAATTTTAACCTTTTACTTAAGAAACCTCTGCCATGGTACAAAAGGGCATAAGAAAATGCAAATTTTTGAAGCTTCTTGCACAAAGAACAATACCGGAGGGGACCGAGGATGCAAAGAACCCAGATAAAGGGGCTCCTCTGTCTCCAAGCCCATCAAGACTGACCGACGTACTCAGAGAAGCGCCAAAGGACCAAAAGTGCATGCGCAAAAGAGAAAAGTTCAAAAGTTCAAGCATGAAGAAGACCACAACCTTCAGCCTCAAGACCACCAGATACTCTCACAGGACCACCATGGCAAACCACGCATGCCTAGAAGGGCGTGGACCTATTTAGCATGAGAGGTGAGGACAGGCGGGGACAGGGGTTGAATATGCATAGAAAAGTTGTGTAATGTACTGCATATGGAATACCTTTGTGAATAAAAGCGTGGGTCAGACTGAGACTCAGGGCACAAGTTTTTGGAGAGCTATGTCATTTGTGTAGGCACTGACAATACATATCCACTTCATAACTACAACAGTTTGTGGAGTCTATTTATTTATTCTGCATATCGCTTCACCAGGATGGTTTCATGAGGGGAAACTCCTGCTTGTCAAACCTTACTTCTTTATACAACAGGGTAACCTACCTAAGTGACCTAGGAGAGTTGGTATCTTTTTTGACTTCAGCAAAGCTTTTGATACTGTCTCACACAGGATCCTTCTAGACAAAGTGGCCTGCACACAGCTGAATACCCATGCTATACAATGAACAAGCAACTGGCTCACAGGTCAGGTACAAAGGGTTGTAGTTAATGAGGTGACATTCAACTGGCATCAGATCACTGGTAGGGCTTCACAGGCTCATCTTAGGCCCGGGTCTCCTCATAAATGACTTGGATATGGAACTCAAGGAATAGTAAGCTTGCTGATGCACTAAATGGGAGGAGCTCAAGGGCAGGGAGGCCCCACCGCAAGATCTTGGTAAAACAGAGAGATGGGCAAGCGCCAACCATAGTGTTGCCATAAAACAAGGCAAACAAACAACAACAGTGGGAGTGACAACAAACAGAACCAGAAACCCAGTGACAGCCTTCTCTCGGCTGCAGACACTTTTGCCTTTGGTGCAGTTATAGTCACAGCCGGCAGGGCGCTGGTGGCTCCTGGCCGGGCAGGGCAGGCACGATGAGTCCCCTGCACCTGGAGGAGGCACTGTGGCACAAGCCCAGCTGCCTCCCTCCAGGAGAGTAATGGTGGAACAGCCAGCGGGAGAGATAGAAAGTGGCTTCCTTTACAAAGTCATGGGAGGCAGCTGGTCCCGGTGCCTCTCTGGATGATGAAAGAGACTGTAGAGGAACCCTGGAGCAGCAGGCTGGAAGGCAGGCACACCTGGGGTGGTAAAAAGCATAGCAGAACTCCAGAGCCATACCAGGAGCCGCACGGTATCCCGGCAGGCAGAGGCAGGGGATATCGGGCTAAAGCGTAGCAAAAAGCAAGCAGCAGCAGCAGAAAACAGCAGCACTGGGCAGCAGCAGACGGTTTTCTGCAAGCAGCTGCCGCAAGCACCCAGGAGGCACTCCCTCCAGAAGGGAGAGGGGGTCAGGGTCCCAGGTTTTCCCCTACAGCACCCGAGTAGATGGCAAGGGTCACTTCCAGTGAGATTGGTCGTTGAAAAGGTCCCAGTTCAACAGCTGCCCTTGCTAGCAAAGGCTCGCCCATGGTAAAGAAAAGCAGTACACAACAGAACTCCACGTTGACAACGAATTCTCCTCACAGCAGCAGCCCGTCTCCCCCCCCACTGCCCCAAGAGTGAGAGAGAGCAAGGGACAAACCCAGCCCCTCACCCCCCAGCCAAACTCTCACCGTATCTCTGCACTTCCTACGAGAAAGCCCCCCAGCTAAGAGACTGCAGCCAGCTGCACCCCTTCACCCCATCTTGGCCACATCCTTTGTTTCTCTCAAGTATCCATTGTTCTGGTCTCTTAGGCAACAAATGGGAGAGAAATTCCCTAAGAAAGAAAAAAAATTGAACAAATCCTAACCTTCAACACATATGAAGTTTAACAAGGGCAACTGCTGGATTCTGCACTTGGGATGGGTCAATCCAGGACAGACAGACTGGGGAACAAGACACTGGAGAGCAGCACCACGGGGTCCTGGTTGATGGCAAGTTGAATGTGAGTCAGCAGCGCCCACACAGACAAGAGTGCCTACTGTGTCCTGGGTACATCAGGCACAGCATCCCCAGTTGAGCAAGGAAGGGGTTGTCCCACTCTGCTCTGCACTGCTTCAGACCCACCTCGAATCCTGTGTACAGTCTTGGGTGCACAATATAAGAAAAATACAAAACTATTACAGAACCCCCCAAAAAGGGCAACCAAGATAGTGAAGGGGCTGGAGGGGAAGCTGAACAAGGAGCAGTTGAGGTCACCCTGTCTGTTCAGCCTGGAGGAGACTGAGGGGTATCCTCATTGCAGTATTAAACATCCTCACAAAGGGAAGTAGAGAGGCAGGAACTGCTGTGGTGACCCAAGGGAACAGTCAGTCAGGGGAGGGTTGCACTATGTACATATATAATTGAGCCACATACATATATAGTTTATATGACTGTGTATATATATATATTTGATACATAATTAGACACTTTGAAGTAACACACAGCAAACCATTAGTAAATTACTTCATCCAAAATCCTGTGTTAGTTCTCTGAGTGGCAAAAACATGCACAACAGGTGATTTTAGCCTACCATCCATTTCTGGATATGAGCCCATTTTCTATCATATGAATGCTGAGAAAACTACAGAACGTAAAAAGAAAACCAAACAAAACATTTAAAATATAAATTATAGTCACCACACAAGATTGGATTCCCGAACTGAAAACTCAGAAAGATCTACATTAATTATTATGCAATCTTCAAAACAATAGCAGATATCTATAGCAATTCAAAAACTCAAACTGTGGTACAATGAGAACCATATAACACTGAGGCAAAAAATGTTCTGCATATTTTGCTAATAACCACAGAAAAAAAAATCCCACAACTACCAAATATGAGCATTACATGGATTTGAGTGTAACCATGATAAATAATAAATTCTCAATGTTTTAGATGCAATGCCAAAACTGAATTGCGACAACCATGCAATAACCAGACTGCTGGAAACCTAGTTTCTAGGATTTTTTTTCTCAAGAAATGCAAACTTTTTTTAGGAGAAACGTGTATACACAACTGTATATGTAAATATTACCCCATTTAAATAATATTTTTTAAAGAAAGATCTTGACAACAGGTATTTACTGTGAATCCTTTCAGTATAATCCGATTCTAAAGCTGAAAATACTTGCACAAAACTGAATTACACTAAAAGACAAAATCTTATGGAAATGCAGAAATAAGACACATTACGAATTTTTGTAATGGTTTGCAATAATTCCTGGTGAGTTACAATACCTCTTTTTGCTGTCGCTCCAGCTCTCTCATACGTATATCTCTTGCTTCTGCTCGAGCTGCCCGTTTTGCTGCAAGTCTGGCTTCTGCCTACAAGTAGATGGAAAATAATTAAAGTTTAAAAAAACTTTTTTGAATAAACTCAAATCTCTTCATAAGTACACATTAAGATTTTATCATCATAATACAGAAGTAATAAAGAATGACATTTCAAAAAGAATATGTACCTAACTCTTTAAAGATAGCATTGCTAGCCGAAATAATTAGATGATCATTTAAAAAGTCATAGAATGGCTTGGCTGTGAAGGGACCATAAAGATCATCTAGTTCCAATGCCCAGATCAGGTACCATCAACTAAAGTAGGCTGCTCAGCACTCCATCCAACCTGGCCTTGAATAGTTCCAGGTATGGGACATCAATAACTTCTCTGGCCAATCTGTTCCAGTGGCCAGGAACCCACCACTCCTCTAGTAAGACTTTCCTCCTAACATCTAATCTAAACCTACTCTCTTTTAGTTTAAAACCATACATTCCCCTGTCCTAATGCCATCTGCCTGTCTAAAAAAACTCACTCTCCCTGTTTTTCATAAGCCTGTTTCAGGTACTGGAAGGTCTCTGTGAGGTCTCCCCAAATACATCTCTTCTCCAGGCTGAACAACCCCAGCTCTCTCAGCCTGTCCTCACAGGCGAGGTGCTTCAGTCCTCTGAGCATCTTTGTCGCCATTAACAACTTCTCCCAGTCTGGACTCACATCTGAGACTGCCCTGACTGACGTGCAGTATCTTGTATGTGGACTTGTTGAACTTCAAGAGGTTTTCATGGGCCCAAATTTGTCCAGGTGGCCCTGGATGGCACCCCATCCTTCTGTTGCACCAACTGCACTGCTCTTGTTCACAGATCTGCAAACTTGCTGAGGGTACACTGAATCCCACTGACAGTGCCATTGATAAAAGTATTAAACAGAGGTAGCAAGACAAGTTCTTCTTCCAGGGGGTGACACAGTCAGTTCCCTGATTTTCACCTAAAAACCAATTATTATAAGCTACTTATAGTCATTTAGAAAACCATCTCTACTTATTCAATTTTTTCATCTTTGTTTTTAAAAATGTATTCTACCACAATCTTTTGAAAACTTTTAGCTCAACTTTCAAGGATAACATGTAGTTCTTCAGTTAAATCAAAAATATTTTTGGAAAGAAAGAAAGAAGCAAAGCAAGATGAGACTAACTTGAATGCCTTTGTAAAGATTGAGTCTGAAGTCTCTCCTTTCTGATGTATTTTTCTTAGACTCTTCATAGCAACAACCATGTTTTTTCCTAGGTAAGCAGTATGATATTAACATAGAATTTATATGGTAGAGGCTTCCCCCCATGTTGAGCAAGGAGAAGCATAACATCTAACTCCATAGTGTAGATAGGTATCTCTTTCCTTCCCTTGTCTGCAAGAAGGAATTCACTAGAAAGCAACGGTATTTTATTTTAAATTTTTATACCCTGGAGAAGTTGATTCTTTAATCAGCTTGGATTCAGCATAAAAGCTGCATAAGGTTAAAATAGAGGCTATCCTATAACGTTATCCATCTCTGAAAAATTATTTTGTCATCATGGGCTGATGTATACATATAACACAGAACCATTTCTCTCTCTGCCAAGGGATATGCAATCCTGCAGTTTCCAATGCAGGAGGCCTGGTTAAGGAGCATTTAATTCTTCCACCAGATAGCAGCGTTAAGGGCACTGACTGCCCCTGCAGGACCTGCCGCTCCCTGTCTGCCACAGATGCATGGAATGGCTCTAGGACACCCTGCCAGCTCTGGCTAAGCATCAAGGTGAGCATTTTAAAAATGTTCACTCTAATTGTTAATAGATAACTACATATAGCAACTTAATTTCACCTTTTCTTATCAAGCAAACAAAGGATTCTGTGCCCAATTCCAACCCCCCATGGCAGGGGGGTTGGAATTGGATCATCTGTAAGGTCCTTTCAATTCAAAGCATTCTATGATTCCTTCTGCTGCTCAATTCTTCTGTATTCTCATTCCCATGCTTTTTGTCAAAATCTCCATACTGTCTCATGAAATCAAGGCAACACCATCACTAATGTGCCAAGAGTATTTCTTATGGCTCCTCAGAAACCTCTTTTCCACTTATATCTCATGTCTCTGCCCCAGTTGCCTACAAAAACCAAAACATTTAAAAATATTAAGCTTTTAAAAACTCAGCTTTTTCTATCATGGCAGTATCATAACATTACATCTCTATTAAAGTAAGAACTGCACTCTACTCACAGTTGAGCTACTACAAAGTGAATTTTAAATCAAAATTAATCTTTATTCTCTCCCATGAGAAAACACCTAAAGAGTTTTCCATGCTCTTGCTAGATAGTGAAAATAGTCATAAGAACTGAGAGTGCCTGAGAAAAAACCCACCAAACCAAAACACAGAGACAATATCCTACAAGGCAGAAACCCACTGAACACTGTTGCAATGTTGCTTGTCCACAACCTCTAGTTCTCTGTCACCTAGTTAACACAGCCCTGAATAATGGAAGAGTTGCTGATGATAACTCCCAAAAGGCTGATGATAACACCCAAAAAATGGTAAATCCTGATTGTCCCTTCAAACTCCTGTTTAGCAGGTTGAGGATGGTGAGATGACATGTGTCAGACTCTTACCACTTTGTGCCATGATATTTATGGTATCTGAGCATGAACCACAGGCCATGCAAGAACACAGAAGTGACTGAAACCTCTGTTCTCACATAATCAGACTGGTTTTGGAGAACGAGGTCTCATGTAATCCTAAAAAATGGTGATGACAGATTACTGCTATATATTTAAAATTAACAATTTGTCTGCAAATAGAAAGACAAGTGAAGCAGCCAATGATATTCTGTCTGCACAAGAATTTAATAGAAAATCCCCACAACAAACACACAGGGAAAACATCTTGAGATCATATCAGGTGTATTCAACGTACACTGTGAATATAACCTTGAGAAAAGGAACCTCAATTTTCATTACATAGTTACATGGGAATTTTCAAGCAGTTAAGTCTTTTTGTTTAACAAATGAGAATATAATGTTGCCAGGAGCCTGAAGTTACACTAGACAATCATTACCTGTACTTTGGGAAGCTCAAACTTTGCACAAGATATATGAAACTGTCTTCTACACCAGGTGACTTATTCTTTGTCAATCTTAGAAAGCTAACAGTTTCAGATTCCATTACAAAAGCTAGAGAAAGAACCAAAAAGAACTCTGTATTTTCAGGAGATAGGCTTTTTTTTTTTTTTTCTTTTAAGAGATAAGCTGACTTTCAATTAACCTTGCTATAATTAGAATACACTTGCCACTGCTCCATTTTAATGATGTTAGGTGCTTTTACACCCACAGTTCCATTATTTCCTTGCAGGGAACACATCTACACCTGCTCCTGCAGCTTTTGAAAAAAGCATGTGTGTTTTAAATTTTGTCTCTTTACATAATGAGTAGGAAAGAAAAATCAAGTGTTAGGGAGGAGAAGCGTTCCAAAGGTTTTATTATTATTCTTTTAGTTTCTGTTAATATATGTTTTCTTTATACCCTTTTGAAGTTTTGAGCCTGCTTTGCCTTCTTCCTAATCCTATCTCACAAGGAAATAAGTAAGTATATTCTAGTAGAGTGCATTGGCCTTTAGCCAGCACTAAACCCACCACATTAATTAGTGTGTTGGCCAAGAAACGTCAAATTGGCAAACCAAAACCCTCAGACAAAATTGGTGTTCAAACTAAAACCACCACAGCATGATAAACTGTTGTACCAGGATAAGACTGCCAAACTGATCAAATGCAAATAATCCCAACTTCAGTCATGGTGAAATAGGGAGAGCGCATTGCTTCCAGGAAAGGACGCAGAGCTAGACCACTGTCCCTGGAATATGTACATCACCTTTACCCTTCCTCAGTTCCAGTGAGCAAGGAAATTCAATGCCGGGAAAAATAATACACCATAGTATATAAAGTAGGTCCCTAAGAAAGAGGTTTAGCAACTCAAAAGTTCTTGGAATAAGGTAGAAATTCACTCTACTGTTGATGTTTTAGCATATTTGTGTGTAACACAGAGACACTGTAAAAATGCTTGTCTCAATGCATGGTCCCACACCAAGGAAAAGATGTGGAAGAGCTCTCTACACAACAAAAGTTAAATACAAGAAATAAAGGGGAGGGGACAGCCAACAGAAGAAAAAAGTTTTCTGATGTGAAGGAAAGATGGAAAAAAATTGAAGAAATATCAAAGAGAAAGCAGTCTGACCAGGCACCTCAGAAGCTTACAATAATACCCTTATCTTCCATTAAATATTTTCATATAGAATGACATCAGATTCAAATAGTGCAGAAAAATGACTATATGGAAATGAACTTATTGGATCAGTGCCAAAGAATTCTTTAAACCATATTTCCTAAAGAGCAATGTTTACTGGTACTAAAAGAAAGATATATTTGTTTTTGACACATGCCATACAACAAGGAAATGACAATTTTGTCAAACTAAAAGTGGTAATCTCAACTTTTAGAGAAAAAAAGCCTTGAAATGTCATACACTACATTAGAGTCACTTTACTATAGCTCTTTCTATTACAAATTCCAATACTTTCTAGTGCCATTTTGTGACTGCTCTCAATCCCAGAGCACTTTTATGCAGTTTCACCACACAGATCATCCTGCGTGCAGCCTTTTGTTTCTGCACATTGTGTTTACCATCTCTTAATACCTAGAACACCTTTAGAAAGATTTTCCACAGAAGACACATGGATTACAGGATTCAATTCAATCCTAGCAAGTAATGTCTTCTAAAAAGATGGGATGTTAGAGAACTAAGCCCAACAGTAATTTTAAGTAAGATAATATGCATTACTTGTTACTATTGAGATCCTTTCCTAGGTTTAACAACAAGTTGATGCTATGGAAGCATGCATATACTCAAAGAAATTTAGGGCCATATTCTTTCTTTTTTACTGTTTTTGCCAAAAATGAGAGATGGAGCTTGATGAGTGAGATCATACATGATCCAGAGTCCCACACAGGACTTGGCTTATAGAGTGAGACCTTCCATTAGAACTAGAACATGACTGAGAACATGACTTTCTGAAAAGTTACCAACCAATTTTTTTTTTTACTGACAAGGCGTATCTTTTGCCTACAGTCTATGACAGATACACTTGAAAATGCATAAATAAGCTTTCTCTTCAGAGACTTATCACTTACCTACTTTGTCTTACATACACATAGACAACTATTTACATTACGAAGCCAAATAGAATCTGCATTTTGCACTCATTTATCAACTAGGGCAAGCAGCTTTGTAGATACTATAGACCAAAACAACCTGGATTCACTTGTATAGAAACAGTATTAAGACTTTTGTTCCTAGTCACAGCATTTTCACCTAGAAAAACTTTGGTCCAAACAGACATCTCTAAGACTTTAAATTCCAACTGCCTAAATCTCATGGGACAAAATTCCCCTTTGTATCAACTTCTTGTTAATTGTACTTTTTGCTGGTTATCTCCAGCTCTCTTTTTTTTTTTAGGTGGTGGAATTCCTGGTAGAGTGTACATATTAGGCTTATTTGGAAAGAAATGTGACTTCTCACATTTAAAATAGATTCCATTATAAATATATTTTAATAGCGACTATTACCCATTCAATACAAATTTCAATACTAATACAGTATACTTACCATCTTAAGAATATGACACACATGTGTTTGATTTTTAGTTTTACACTTGAGACAGCACCTGGATTTTTCATTTATCTTTAAGCATGTAAGTAGAAATAGCTGCTAGGCTTAAGTGTATATCTGTGAGGTTACACTAATCATACAGTTAATATCTCCCTATGTTGACATTTCAATTAATGTGATTTTTTGATCAATAATCCTCTTAGCTTATATTAATTGTCATATTTTTGGCTAATTACACTTTTTTATGCACATCTATAAAAAATTAACTTCTCCTGGATAATGAGATTACTTTCATCCCTTTTCAGAATTCAAGACACTTTTAAGTTAGCAAACCTCTCTGGCAATGTTGCTTAGAGCTTCATCTTCTGCAGAAAATCTGTCTTTCACTGGAGTTCTCTTCCGTCCTGATCCAGGAGTTCCCATTTTTATTCTCTGAACCTGTATTTGAAAACACAGACAGGACAAATCTCAATTTTAATTAAGATCTGGAATTAAAAACAATCAACCAACCTACACACCAAAATGTCCTAAGTTTTCCAATCTTTAGCTACATAATACTCAAGACATCTACATGCAATTGGCATGTAATCGTAAAACTTTATCACAAAAGTTTGTGGCAGCACTACAGAGCACCACTGCATCCTTCAAGGTGCACATACAGAATTTTTCTACTGAACAGAAGCCATCAGTTTACCTATAGCTTCAAAGTCAGGCACAACTGGAAACTGGTCCTGGCTCAAAAAGGATACTTCTGTTCTCAGTCAATTTAGGTAACTCCTGAAAAGATCTATCAAGTTACATATGTGGGGGAAAAAAAAAGCCCTATGGACAACAAAGTGTTCAAGAATTAAATTTACATGATCATTAGAGTTCTCCTCAACACAGAAAAGACTCACCAGACAAACTTTACTAAGCATCCAGGTAGGTACATGTTAATTATTTACATTTTAATGCAGCAGTTCTCATGCAACTGAACTGCTGTCTCCAAAAGCAGTAGTTTTACTATAGCAGAAATAGACACCTTTATGCAAAAAAACCCCATTCTTTTGCCTAACAAGATTCTCAAACTGGGAAATGAACAAACATACTACCATCATATACCCAGAATACATAAGATACATTTACTTTTCCTCCAGAAATCTCCTATGAATTGCAAGCATATAAAAATGACCAACAAAACAAAGCACAGCCCATGAAGACACAATCAAAAAATATTACACACACACACACACACACACACAAACCCCTCAAAAACCACAACTGTGTAAGTTTTTTTCAAATATCCTAAAGAAATCCTACTTCCAGACATCCAGGTCCTCTGAAATGTGGTAGTCCAGCTAATTTGGCAAAAGTCTGTATTTTTAGTCTTAAAAACAAGCAAGTAAACTTATGTCTCGTACTCAAGAAAATTTAGACAAATATATGCACAGTTTGGAGATCTCCGTGGCAAAGGTTTAAACTCAGAACTACAAGCTGCTGTCCACATTCTGAATGTCTCAAAAAATCTGCATCTTTTTCAGTAATTCTTATTGGCTGACTTCAAATATTAAAAGCAGACAGTGCCCAAACTAGAAGTTACATGAACACAATATAATATTACCCCTACTACAGAAGGCTTTAACAACATTACACACTAGCCACAAGAAAAATCATTAAATGTTTATTACAATAAATAGGTTCACATAAGAACAGAAGTCAAATCTATCTACTAAAAGTCACAAAGCATGAAATTATTTTAATTGACACATTAAAGGCCATACTTCTTTAAAAAATATTTACCACATAAGTAAAAACTGCAGAATAATTGCAGATACCATAGACTTGAACTGCATTTGTTGACATCCTTTAAACAACACACCACTTCTAATAGACAACAAACTTTGGTTTGTTAACTCAGTGAAATGCTCTTAGCTGGCACACTGATTTGGGGAATGTAATGGTTTATAGCTAAAATATAGGTAATTTTACTATAGTTATGTTCAGTTTACATGAAGTACTAATTTACAGACTAGTAATTTCATAAAAATTAGATGCTGATGCTTTAAATGAGGATACACACTTCATCTCAGTCACTGTGGAGGAAGGCAAGTGTGGCATCTCTACCAGCAATCTACCACACTTCTCACCTAGAACAAGGACAGAACTCCTGATTGAGTCCAAACACAAGAGAGAACAGGACAGATTACCCAGAAGGTATACAGAGATGTTGCTTTTGCCTACAAGGAGGAATTAAGAAAACCAAAGCTCAACTGAAGCCAAAATTAGCAAAAGCTGATAAGGACAAAGAGAAAGGCTATTCTAAGGACATCAGGAACACAAGAAAGACTAAGAAAACTTTAGGGCCACTGTTTAGTGACACAGGTGAGAGTGGTGGGTGCTTGCCAAGCCCCACCCTTGGCAGAAGGGTCTAGATAATAACAAATGTGAAGATGGGAATCTGTGTGCGTGAATCAAATATGACAGGATACCAGAATCAATGTCTGACAGGCCCAAACGTGGTCATGTTATCTGCAACAAGCAAGAGGCTTGTCAGTTACATTAAACAAACTACGAAATTAGACAGAAGAACTTGTTTGAAGTAAAGGAGTCTTCTTGAAAATAAAACCAAAATCAACAGTGACCGTAGTAGTAACTTTGGAGGGATAACAGCATCAGTCAAACCCCAGTTTGATGCTGACAGAAGTCCCCCAACTGACTGCATGATATCTGTCCAGGCTAAACCAATACAGCATCCCTCCTAGTGGATACAAGATCCTGAACTCCTGCTAGCAGGTGGTCAGTACAGGGAGCGTCAGTACACATCTTAAGTGTGTGAATGTGAGCTTGTTAGGTATGCTCTCATTGGCATATTCATTAGGACATAGCACAGCACGTATTAGAGAACAGCACAGATACACACAACTTAGTGTCCACATCTCCAGCAGGAATCATGTGCAAATAGGGGACCCTGAAGTTGAAGAACAGAACAGGTAACCACCAGCCTAGAGAGGCTGTGAAATGTCCATCCTGAAGATGGTAAAAGCTTAACTAGACAAGGCTCTGGAAAACCTTTTCTAATTGACAATACTTTGGGCAAAGGGTGACCTCCAAAGAATCTTCCTAAAAGAAAATATATGGTTCTACACTTATTATTGTTCTCAATTTTGAAACTAAACCTCCATATAAGCTTTCTTTAATTAGATGTTTTAATATTTCTTCAAGGGTCTTGTCACAATTTCTTCCATTCCATTTAACTTTTAATTAGGCTGATGTATGTCAGAGTATTTAATTTCTTCTTACAAAGTTCAGTACTACAGAAACCTAGACATATTGCTAATATACTGATTAGTCTAATACTATAAATATCATTATGTTACTTCTCAGAAAAATATAAGATATCAATACTTCACATACATGCAGAAATACTTCTGGGATGTTTCACTTCAATAACTTTCTGACTACACAAAACGTTATTTTCCTGCATGGTGAATCATGATTTTAAAAAATTAAGATTTTAGCTGAGGGTTAGAACCAATTCATATTGAAGTTAGATACACCAGTGATAGGTTAATGATTATTAGATGCTTAAGCTAAAGCTAATTGTTATATTATTAACTCATTTATAGAAGGAAGTGGAGCAAGTGAACCATTATAGGAACATATTGAAAACAGTAGAAAAATGCCCAGCGCCTGGACTCTACGTTAATCCATCATGAAGCATGGGGCTTCAGATCATGGCAGAGGGTAACAGAGACCTGGCAAAGACCTTCCTGACTTCGTCCCTGGGACCACTGACCCTATTCAAGACCACCGACCCAATTCAAGAAAAGAACTGCACATGTATGAAGTACTAATAACCTCATTTTAATACAAAGTGAGGATGGGAGGTGCTGGGGCGATGCATATGCATTATTTTGGGAAATAAATAGAAAGAAAAAAACCTTGTGTGATGCAGTTAAACATTTCAGGGATGACCCCCCTCCCCGTGCCACCTGCCAGCGTAATGAACATACCACTTTCTGACTTTAACTAGTTAAGAGTCTTTGTCCATGATTTTCAGTTTCAATGATTCAATGGGATAAAGAATTTAATACATGCTGTCACATTGGAATTTTCATAAAAAATAACTAGAGAGAACACCAAGACAAAACCAGACAAAGAACAGTTTGCTGTTGTTATTTTATGGTTTAGAAAGATAAGATACAAAAGGAAAGAACACTATAATATCTGCTGCATTTACAGTTAAAAATTCTTGAGGCATGCCCACTTCATGCCTAATTCTATAGGCATGGTAACACATTGTATTACACAACTAATGAAGTCACATCCTGTTGCATTTCATTCCAAAACACAGAAGTGTCTGAAGTCCCCAAACAAAATAGAAGACCTATGACAAAATCCTTCAAATGCCCTCTCATTTGTCTTCACTTCAGGCATGTATACATTTTATCTCTTCCACAAGTCTTTGCTGTCTAGTCTTCTTCATATTACCTTCTGACTAAAGGTTCTCCTTGTTTCTTTTTTACTGCCCAGAAAAAAAGTCTGATTTGTCTTGGAAAAAAATAAGCTACACTACAAGTTCAGGGCCTATCACTCACTGCCTTCCTGGGTGTATGCCAGCATATTTGGCATTACATACATGGGATCCAGATACCTTAATGTGAACAGGCTATAAATAACAGACCAAAACTCCCGTTTTTTCTTTCAAGCAAGACTACAAGATCAGTAAAATTCACCCGTGTAGACATCATCTCTGTATAACAGATTCAACAACAAAGAATGGCACTTCTCTAGAACTAATGTCTTTCAGAAACAGAATCTGAATGCAGAAGTATTAGTACTACAACAGTTGCATTCATAATTGAAAAGGAGCATAATCATATTGGCAACCACAATCTTGTTGCTCGATCTTCAGTCTTTGTCCGAGTAAACTTCAAAGGAGACAAAACAAATAGACATAGAAAAATTTTAAATTATGCAAGACAGATATAAGTCTTCTTCAGAAGAAAGACACCATACAAGGGTACTCTCTTTGCAATTAATGTTTGCTCATAGGTCCAAAACCACCCATGCAAGAAAAAGGGCTGCAGGATCACAGGGTGACCATGACCCAACAAAGGGACATGTAGGAAGAGATAGAAATACATTAGGTTTTAATGCACTGAGAAAGAAACAGACTGAGTTTTAAAGCAATAATTTTAAGGACTCATTTGGAATTTTCATTCAGAATAACCTAAGAACTATTACCAAAAAAGAGCTGCTACTATGAGTGAGAGAGGCTAACATTAAAGGGAAAATGCGAAGACTGATAAAAACATATAATTACAATCTGCCAAAACATTACAGTGCTTACCACTATATTGGAGGCAAAGTTATTCCAGCTGATGAATAGTGTTTCTGTTTTAAGAACCTGTTCATCTCTAATCATTGCCCACTTCAAAAACTGTTAGCACAAAGTTTCTGCTCTGAGTGGACAAGCTTACATCAGCTTTTTCAGGAAAAAAACTTACTCTTTAGACAACTGCATAATTCACCCCCTTAATGTAATGTATTTGCAGTTTGCTTGCTGTTTTAAAATCTGAGAAATACAATTTCTTAAGAGTTCATTTAGCAATAGAATTACAATTCCTCAGAGGGAGTTGAAATCCCTCAGTTTGTTGGTGTTAGGAAGTTAGAGACCAACAGAAAGCCCCCAGTTAAAACAATCAAAAAGCCATTATGCAGCTTGCAAGAGTCTGCAAGTGCCTGATGGACCCATGAAGTGTAACAGTGCCTGACTAGCATTGGCACACATAAAGCATTGCAAGACAGTCAATGTACTAAAAGCATCCTACAGCCCTGTAGAACTACGAGACGCCTCCAGACCTACCAAGCTATCTTTGGTGACCTTCACCAGTCTTTGCAAATTACCAAAATTCCAAAACAACATTTTGCAATTTAAGTGGTGGCGACTTGTTTCATGAAGTATGAGTTCTCTGCCAGTCAGTTGCCAACAGCTGCAACTGGAGATACCATTAGCAAAAAGGATATTACATACATAATATTATCATCAGTTACAGGCAGCATCTGGAAAGCTCTTATAATGGTGACTTGCCAGAGGACCTCTCAGGGCACAATATAAAGCATATATAACTTTCAGAAAAGCAGCCTAACACAGATTGACTTTTCTAGAATCAAAGCTATTATAAATGCTGAAGATCCAGGAACACACTAAGAATTCAAATGGAACTTTAAAACATAAGGGGATGACAGTACTAAAATGAGCACTACAAAAAAAATACGAAAACGCAAAAAAAAAACCAAAACAAACCACAAGGATGTTCCAGAAGTATTTACTTTAAAATGAAGCAAACATTGTTTTTATACTATCAGCTTTTTCAAAATGAGTACCCTTTCTGTCATTTTGCAAAAGAATGAATCATTTCTCATTAAAAAACCAAACACTGTTGCTATACTGAAGCTCCACTTTTTTTTTTTTAATGAAATGGAGTGCCCCATGGTAACAACCCACATTCTGTAATAAGATGCAACTATTTAAAATATTTTTTCCCCATCAATTTAATAGACTCCTACACTCTTTCCTACTCATGCTACAGTTACAGTACAACGAAGAAAAGCTACTGCAGCAAGGGAAAAAAAAATTGTCCTGGGTACCTCTTAGAAGAAATAGCAGTTGGAGGAAACTATAAGCTGACATCATTCCTACTGACTAGTTCTCTGTTATGGTATCGGAGTTGGTAGGCTTAGAAACACCTATGTCCACCTGACCTTTCTTTTGTAAATACCCCATCACCTCTTTCCTTAAAGCAGATCTAACACTGCTATCTTAGCTCAAGGAAATGTGAGCTTTAATATCACCTTCACAAGCAGACAGTATTATTTACATAAACTATCTTGCAGAGCATGTAATGCACAAACACAAACTGTCCTTTACCTACAATTACATGTTACCTATTTTCCAGGTATTAAGATAATAAAATCTAATTACTTTCTCAAAAAGTAGTTATAGCATTTTTTGTAATGCTACTGGACTGATACATTACTATCACCATACATCTTCACATTAGGATCTTACAAACAACAACATAGTATCAAATCTATTCATTCTTTCTTATCCTCTGCTTACATTATACAACAGAGCTATTCAATTATATATTATACTGATCTAGGTGGTTTTTTGGTATATGCACATGCCAACTTGTGTGCTATGGGAAAATCTAGACCTTAATAAGCTCTACAGATCCTCACTACACAGAGTCTAACCAGCACTTTCTGAAAGTTTACCTGTATTAGAGACCTATGCCAACTTCTGAGAGAATGAGACTTTAAAAAAAGCTCCTCTGGAGTAAATTCATATGAAATACTGGTGTTTAGGTCAACAAGCTACGCCTGACACATTTCACACAACCATCTTCTATTCACAAGTTTCCAGTTACAGCCAAGAATTCAGTTCAGGTAAGACTGACTTCACAATAAGCCTCCAAATCAAAGTAACAAAAAACAATAGGAAAATTATGTCATGTACGTCAAACAATTTTGTACTGCTAAGGCATCTTTTATCTATTCTTACATCATCATTAAGCAATTACATTAACTGAGGAAGCAGATGTATATTAAGAGGGTAACTGTTCCTGGGCCACCATACATTTAAATACATCATTTCACAATCAAGACACAATGAGCATTTAAAGAGCTCAGACAAACACTGATTTAATATTATACTTTGTAGCAAACCTCCCGCCTCACATCTCTAAAGATGTTTCACCCTAATAATGATACTTTGAAGGGAGAAAATTGATCCTAGACCTTCCTCATTCCAAGCAAAAAATGCCTGTAGCTCTCTCTGAAATGAGGAAATTACTGAGTATATAATATAACAGCACTACTTCATCTACAAAATATTTTTATTATCAGTGAAATACACAACACTGCCCTTCAAAGAGTCACGCTAGGATTCAAACTGAAAATCACTTATAACACATTGAGCAGACCACAATCCAGAGCTGCTTTTGGGCTCCTTCCAAACTCATGAATGTGCTCATCTCTCTTATCATCCTCAACAACGTATTTATAATTATCGCAATAGGGTATGCTAAAAATAAAACAGCGTACTCCAAAATAAATTTTAAAAAAACCAAAGGACTAAGCATCAGCAAGAGTGACCGACTCCCTGCGCAGCTCGCTGCAGAGGGGCACGCCCTACTGTTCCGGGAACAGCGAAGCCGCCGTAAGTGCTCCGAGGAAGTAGGAGAGAGAAAAGCACCGAAATACACACAGCTGTGATTTCAGCACATACTCCTTTTTTCCCTCATTCCGCCGTTTCCACTCACCCCCAAGGGGCGCACGGCAGCTTCCCGGGGATCAGAGGAAGGATCGCGCCCGGCGAGCATCAGCAGCCGCCGGAAGGGCTCGGGCCAGGCCGGGCTCGGCTTCCCCTGGTCCGCCCGCACGGAAGGGGCCGCACGCCGCCGCCCCGAGCTTCTCCTGCTGCTCGCCGACCTGACCAACGAGTTCCGGCCGAGCCGCTCCTCCAAACCTGAAGAACCGGGTTCCCGCCCCGCTTCGTGCCCCGCGTTTTGTGTCTGTGACACCCTTCCTCCTCCCGGCCCTCGCCCTAACCCTGCCCGGGCCCCAGAGAGCCTTACCTGCGGGCCAGCCTGCCGCAGAACCGGGACGCTTCAGGAGGGAGAGGGGAATTGTTTCACTCTTCCCTCCGCCACTTCCAGGGGTGTGGGGGGCTCGTAGATCCCGGAATCACTTCAGGCTCCTTCCTTGCCTCACTCCCTACGCCTAGACATAGGGGAATTCTGGCAAAAGCCGCCCCAGGGCAAACGCAGTGCCCGTCAGACACGGACCGCCCACGGGCCGCGACAAGGGAACTGCTGCCTCACCTAACGCTCTCCACCGTCCCCTACCCCCCGTTCCCGTGAGGGGCCAGGGAACCCGGGAGCTGCAGGCAGAAAAGCCGCTCCGCTCCAGGCCGCCCTTCTCTTCCCCGCCCCGCACGCTTGCCTCCTCCCCTTCAGCGCCAGGCGCTTACGGCCACATCGAGAACTCGAGTGAGAGACTGCGGCAAATTTCAAACCGCCTGCAGGGCCCTGCGGAAGGAAGAAGGGGCCGGCGCTGAGCAGAGGGAGAGAAAGCGAAAGCCCGACAGCCAGAGCGCGGCAGACACCGAGACCCACGCTGGCACCCACAGCGCCGCACTGGCCCGGACCCGCACAGGCCGAGGGGCGCAGCGCGCAGGCGCTGCGGAGGAGAGGGCGGCAGGGCCGCGTGCGCAGAGCGGGCGCGGCTGCGGTGCCGCGGTGAGCCGCGGTGGGCGGTGCCGCGCCCCGCCCGGTCCCGCTGCCACGGCCCTGGCGGCTGATGTGCTACGGGAGTTCCGGGTCGGCGTGAGTGACTGCGTCCTGAGGCGGCTTTTCAGCCTAGGGAAGGCGAGGAGGCGATCCGAAGGAGCAGCGCCTCTCGCTCCCGCTTCTCCTTTCCTCAGCAGGCAGAGAAGGGAGGGGGGTCGTTGTCTGTAGCGTGTCGTACTGCAGTGCGCGCTCTCCGCCTCGCCCCCCCTTATCACCGGGCAGGCTGGCTTACTCAGTGCTGTGGTGGGTCTGAGACCGCCTGCTTTGTGCTTCGTTCCCGGGTTTGGCTAGGGCTTGTTTTTATTGCTCGGCCTTCCCCAGGGAGCGGCCGTGCGAGAGCTCCGGGAGACCGTGGCCGCCGCTGGAGAACGGCAGCGCGTCTCGCCTGCATCAGCCGCTGGCAGCCGCCGTGCTCGGTCGTGTGCCCAGCTCCCAAAGCCTGCACATGGCACAAGAGCCTTTCGGAAGATTTGCTGGATGGGTGACAGGCAAGGTTTATTGAGTAAAACTCGTTTGTAGGCATTGGCATCTTCGCTAAACACGACCAGACTTCTGTAATATCAAAATTTAAATACAAGTAGCCGGCATAATCCCCAAGGATAAAATACAAGTGAAAAAGAAATTACTGTACCATCAGATATATTGCGGTTTATACACGAACAGTCATGAAAATTGATGAGATTCTGCTGTGAGATAGACTTGGGATCACACGGGTAGTAATTTGCTTTCCAACACCTCTAGTTAAATGCAGGGTGTCTTAAGAGTGTAGAGATAATTAGAGGAGATGGCATTTTGTATGTTGGAAATCACATGGAAATGAAAAAGCACTGTTAAAATGACAAGCATGGTGGTAAGACCCAAAAACATGCACCAGATGGAGTTCAAATGTCTTACTAAAATAAGCTCGAGTGGATGTGCACAAAGTAAAGAAAAAGGGATATGCAAATGATTTAAATCTAATAAAGCAGATGTATAATATATTTCTTGTGTTTCATTAGTATTTCATAATTATCTGTGTGAGAAAATCTACACTCTCTCAGTCTTTTTTCCTCATCTGATCATAGAGTATAGCCTCACCATCCTTATTTTTAACATCACATTAATTTCTGTAGTAATAGAGGATGATCTCACTGGAGGAAGGTGAAGTAAAAAGTTTCTCATAGACCATCTATAGAAAAGACCAAAAAAAGTATTGGCTTAAAACCTTTGTTTTTATTTGACATTTATTCTTGCAGAAAGACTCACCTGCTGATTTTCTGGGCTTTGTGGAGAATCATCATTAAAAACATCTTGGGCTGTTTTGGTTTGCCCTAGCTGGTGGGAGGAGTCTTTTATTCATTCTTGAGTAGAGGGTTTGTGTAGAGCTTTCTGAAATGTGGCATGTCCCAGGTCTTTTTGGGATCTCTATTAATGTATTGCTGTTAAAGAGAAATTTTTTTTGATCATTTGTACATTCTTCTACAACTAAGTGTTGATTTTTTTCATGCTGCTAGTCTTTTGATATCACAGACTGTACATTTTTCTTTAATGATGCAGTAAAATGCATATCTCCTTGAGAGCAGGCATGCATTTTTGTCACTTGAAAGAGCAATTGTTTACTTGACTGAAAAGCAGTGTACAGTGCAGTTAAAACAGGCAGTGGTACAGGATGGCACAGTAGCAATTCTGAGTTCAGCATTTTTAATTAATTGCTAAACGTGTTATATACAGTTTCATTATAAATCTTCAATTAGAAGCCAGAAAGTGAAAGTTATGTTTGAACTTTTGCTATGTAATGGCTCAGTTACAAAATAATCAATTAGTTATGAATATGCCTTGATTAAATTGTTACTGAAGCTAGTATAAAGCTTGCTCTATTAATAGTGAATTTCAGCTAAAAATAAGTAAAGGAATAAATTAAGTATCACTGGATCTGCTTTGAATATTTTTTCTCTTCACTGTTGTTGTTTATACAGTAGGTTAATATAGATCCCTTATCATATGTAATTGAACTTGCTGATTTACTGTCTCCCATTTCTCTGGAAATCTGTCTCTAAAACTCTATAGCACAATTAAGGTGTTCCATGGGTGGACTCTTACTTTGTCCTTTTCAGAGTGATTAGCACCTAAAAAATTATTTCTAGGATGAATCTGTAAATCAATTAAATGGAATACTTTGAACTATGTCAACTTTCTATAATAATATGTGTGCAGTTTTAAAAGATTTTGTCACTGTAACAACTTCTGCGAGAGAAAAAACATATTTACCTCTGCAATGTTTTCTATTTGTACAGTTCTGAATATCTGTTTTGTTGGTCCCACACTTTAGCATTTCTAATTTTCCCTTTAATCTTTTGTTTCATGATTATTGCACTTTCTGATTAAAAATGTAATAGTGTTGGCACACATATAGGATCATAGCATGACTTAATGCCTGATGTCAATCTGTATTTTCCTTTCTGTGTCCTCCCTATTCTTCTCTCGCTCACTCATCCCTTTGTGGAAAGAATAACTTCCAGGTATTAATTTAACTGGCAGATTGGTTAACTGAAGAAGACTCATTTATTTAATGGCATTTAAAGAAATTCTAACAACCTCATCAAATTGTTTCTGTCATTTCCATTTTGTGTCCTTCCTTTCCAGTAGTTTCTGTCTCCTCAGTTCAGATACCATCACTCAGCTATTCATTTGACACAATTGAACAAACTTTATTTTTTTCTTTTTCCTCCCCAGGTGTAGTAGATCCTCTTTTGGAGATTCTCTGTTTTGTTAGCAATTGCTTGTTCACCCTTCCCCACAAAAAGGGTGTTATAATGTCGGATATGGAGTTGTGTTTGTTAAAAGGTGATAATGGTTCTATTTACCAGAAAGGCCTGTAGGAGGGCACAGTAGCAGGCTGGGTGGTTAGAAGTCAATTGTGGGGGGACAGACACATGGACAGGTGGGTGGTGAGATGCATGGGCAGCAGCATTGCAGTTGAGCAGCCAATAGATGCCCTTCTTCTGTTAAGTTTTGGTTATGTCCAGTGGAAGCTAAAGGTATATAAGGGAGGTGTTTTCTACAATCAAGTGATTTCCTTTGTATGCACAAGGGGGTCTGTGTGTCTTTGTTTCCCATTGCTACGTTATAATACTCCCCTGTGACAGGTGGAAAATCAACTTTTTGTGTCTACACTGGAAATTAAGTGTAAACTGCTTTTGTAATGTAGGGAGCAAGTCTTGCTTTTTTATTTGTGTTGCTTTTCAAAACAATTATTGGATGTGTGTACAGGAGGTTCTGCCAAGCCCTTTCAGTCTTGCCCTCCATCACCTTTTGTTAAGAGTTTAATTTCTACTAAAGATACATTTCTGTCATCATATACAGCCACAAACACATATTAAATCAGTGTTTTCAATCCCAGCATTGATATGGTTTTTAAAATTTCAAGAGGAAAAGAAGCACGAACGATGCCTTTTTTTATGTGACCTTTTGTATGTGATCTTCTCTCCACCAAATTTTTAACTAAGAGATTATTAGAATATCTCTACAAAATCTTTTGAATCTTCCATAGAATTTATTGGAATGTAGAGGGACTATTGTCAGACTTTACAGTTTTTGCATACATATAACATTCACTAAGTTGTGGAAAAAAAACAGGCATTCAGAATTCCTGGCTGTTTTTTGTGGACATATGCACATTTCACAGCTGTTATTATAAACTACAAAGTTCTAGGTACTGCAGAATGAGTGAGATTTAGTTTTTCCTTTTACCTCATTTACTTTAGCACTGGAAAAATCTGCAGGATACAGTAGGAATTATGTACATTATATATGCATTTTGATGGGGTTTGGTGCTCTCTAGCAGCAGAACCGCATGAGTTTCCATTCAGTTCCAACCCATTGCATCCTCAGCAGGAAAAGAATTAGGCTGCCTGTTGAATAGCTGTGGGTAGAGGTAACTAAAAAATTTGTATTCCAATGTTTTCGAAAAAAATCTAGACAACTAAGTAAATGCAACCTTTTTTAGAAAATTTCCATTTAAACACAGATTATTTAATTAACAAAACAATTGAAAACAGAATGTTCTCAATATTCTAGATTTTCACTGTTTTGGTAAATTTTTTTGTGTGTGTGTTGATTTATTTCTGTATTTGGAGTATTTTTAAATCTTTCAGAAACAAGGTAAGCACTAGAATAATGTGATTTATGGTTAGAATGTGTTTATAGGAAGATTTTTTTTTTTTTAATTGCTATGGATCAGTATCCATGAATCTTATTTTGAAAGACAGGTGTTTGCCAAGGAAGGTGGGAATCTCCTTTGGAAAAGAAAATGTGACCCCCTTGTTATAAACGGGAACACACTCCCAGTGTTTAACTGATTTCAGCATTTTTTATAAGGCCTAAAGCTTAGGGGGCCTGCAGGTTGAGCAGGAGCGTTCCCATCGAGGATGCTGCAGCGCTGGCTCTGGATCTTCCTTTCTTGAGCAGTGATGTTCCCGATGTTTCAGGTGGAGTGGCACAGTCTCACTGGCTCAGATGCCCCCTTTTACAGTGTTTTTTGTTCCTTTGGATTGGTTTCTCCTTCATTTGCATGAAGGTTAAGGTGCTTGATTGGCCCTTACACTTCCATCCAGGCTGGCTCGTTTTGGCTTGGGGAGGGGGTTGGTGCACTTTACTTAGGTGTAATACGGTACATTCAGTGCTATATTTCTTATAACTATCCTTTTAACCCCTTTTACAACATAATGACCAAACTTTTTAACAGTACATGCTTAACAATTATAAACTATTTTACAACAGTTTCTAACCTATTTTTGACACTCTTCCCTCCAAATTATTATACCTTTGACATTACAGGGCTGTCGGGCAAAGCTATGGGAAAAGGAATAACAGTTCTTTACTAGTGTGTGTATATATATATAACAAGGCAAACAAACAACACCAAACAGAAGAACAGAAACCTATTTAAGAGGCTTAAATAGGTTTCTCAGCTGTGGCACTTCCCCCTTTGGTGTAGTTATGGTCACAGCCAGTGCTGTTGGCTCCTGGCCGGGCAGTGCAGGTGTGATAAGTCCCCTGTTGCTGCATGGGTTGCTGCACATAAGCCCGGCTGCCTCTCCACTGTTTAATGGCAGCATTGCTGGGGGAAGAGATAGAAAAGGGGCTTCCTTTACAAACTCATGGGAAATAGCTGGTCCCAGTGTCCATCCAGATGGCAAAACAGGCTGTAGCAGGAACCTCAGAGCAGCAAGCTGGAATGGCAGAGGCAAGCAGATCCCGGGATGGCAAACAAAATGTAGCAGAAACTCTGCAGCCATAGCAGAAGCCATGTGGAGTTGAAAAGACATGGGGTCTCAAGTTAAAGAGTAGCAAAAAACCCAAAGCAGCAAAAGAAAAGAGCAGGGCTGGACAGCAGCAGCTGGGCTCCCACCAACAGCCATAAGATACTCCCTTAGTAGAGGAGGGGAAGGGATTTGGGTCCTAGGTTTTCCTCTGGAGCACCTGGGTAGATGGTGAGGTCTCAGTTCAATGGCCGCTCCTATGACCAAAGGCTCACTCATGATAAGGAAGAAGCAGTAAAGGACAGAACTCTGCAGTGGCAGGGAATTCTCCCCACAGCAGCAACAGCACCATCTCCTCCTCCAGTCTTGAGGGTGATAGAGAGTAAGGAGCTGAGCCCTCATCCCTCAGCCAAAATCTCATGGTATCTCTGCACTTCCAAAGAGAAAGCCCCCCCAGCTCATAGCACACTGCACTCTTCCTCCTCCTTGCTGGCTACATCTTTTGTCTCTCTTAAGTGCCGTTGTTATCATCTCTTAGGCAACAAATGTGAGAAAATTCCTTGAAA